GAACAATACATAACCCCTGGAGGGGGTTATCAGCACTGGCGCCAGGCCAGGCCCTTAGATATGACCTCAAGACCCCCATCCCAACCCACAGGGCTTTTTGCTAAGCCGATGAAAGGTCCGGAAGTCTCCATCCATATTTGGGGGACAAAGAAACCAAAAGAGGATAAAAGAAGGGCTTCCACCATATTGGTTTGCTCACACTCTGGAGGCAACTCCTCTGAGACCACTGGCGTAATAAAGCTGTGTAACTCCATTTCTCTAAGCTAGCTTGGGTTTCTTTGGTCTTCTACAATACTCTATGCCCACAACTTCTCATATCTTCTCCATCTAATACCCGTTGTCTACAGGGGTACAGCCCCTCGCAGAAAAGGACCTGTACTCCCACAGTTGGCCCAGCAAGCAGAGTCAAGGAGTAAGGACTCCAACCCTTGGCATCAGGAACAGGATTTGGGGATAAGTGTCCATCTACCCCACTGGGGGTCATGTTTCCTCCAACCAGGCTGTCGTATCTGGTAGCGGTGACACCGGTAGCAGCAGAGAAGACTCCTCAGTCCCTGCGGACCAGATCCCCGAGGAGTGGCTGGGAGCTGCACAGCTTGAGAGAGACTAAGCCTCCGGGAGCCAGGAGCCAGGCAGAGAGGAAGGCAGAGCCCAGTTCTGCAGAGGCTACAGCAGAGGCCATCAAGAGCATTACCATGGGGCCAGAGCAGGTGAAAGATGGCAGGAGGGTCTGGCGCCCAAGCTGCTGCTGTTTTGCAATGCGCATGAAGATTTGATTCTCTCTGCAGCCCCAGCAGTATGTGGCTCCATGGCCACCTGGAGTTCAAGAGGTGAGAGAGGGGCATGGAGAGGCCTGTGACTGTGAGTAAGACAATGCCTGCTCACAGCAGGGGTTAAAAGGGAGAAAATAGATCAGCCACCCAGTGACTGCTGCTGGCCCTCTGGTTGCAGCTGCTGGTGGAGCAGTGATCCCTGAGAGTGCAGAGGGAAGGCGCTAACCCTGGACCAGATCGAGGAGTCTGATCTCTTAGACTTAGACTAAGAGATGGCGGAGGCACCCGGTTGGGGGGCCAGGAGGCCTCATGTTGAACTCGCTGATGTGGACTACAGTTTGCTCTGTAGTGGCCTGGATAGATATGTGGCCTAGAGGCTCATATAGACGGGTGCAGAGTAGAGCTGTCCCTGTAATGTAGGCAGCTCTCTCCGGTACCAGATTGACTCCCCTGCTACACTTCACGGAGCTGGCTGTAGAGGATTGCAGCGATCATCTTGCCACTAACATTGGAGCAATATCCTATGTGATGGACTTGGCTGGTGCCTTCTTCTCCATGGACATGGCTGCAGAGAGTCAAGGACAGTTGGCTTTTGCATAGGAGGGTTGACAGTGGGCTTTGGTCGCCTTCCCTCAGGAATGTTTGCATAGCCCTACCATTTGTCATAGTTTGATAGCATGAGATTTAGCTACCTGGGGCAAGCCTTCCATAGGGCCAATATTTCACTGTGTTAATAATGTGTTAACCTTGAATCTCTTGCAGATTTGAACGCAGCTGCCAGCAGTTGTTACAGTCCTATGTAGGTCTTTTGGGGTGTTAGCAAGTGTCCAGTCCCCACCTGGCTCCATTGTTACGGCCATGTGTCAGTTGTCCCAGAAGGGGGCGATGTGGGGTTGAACCCCAGAAATAAAGGGCACCAAGCTGCCAAGAGGGCAGTTGCCCAAGTGGGCAGGGAAGGGTACCCATCAGGTTTTAGTCCCAGTTATGGAAGAAAACTGGGAGCCAATATTCTCTTGTTGAGAGACAGTCGGCAGCCATGTGTGCTGCCTTGCAGGCCTGCGTGACCATGCCCATGTTGGGAGTGGCACAAATCCCAACTTTAGCAAAGTGGGGGGCCTATTTAGAACAAAAGGAAGCGGTGAGTTCCAGCCTTCTGTCACAGGAATTTTAAACCCTGTTGGGTCCTGTGACATGAGACCCTGTCGAGGGATAAAACTTCTATGGATGAGCTACTCCCTAGTCCATTCCGAGAGGGTATGCCACCCTTCCCGAAGAACATGTGGTGAAAAGACGGGTCTAGTAGGGAAGAATCCTATTACACAGACAGCTGTGACTGTCCGTTTGGATACTAATGAACGATGTAGTTTGATTCAGATACTGAGCAAAGTAGCCCTTTGGCCATTAGAACAGAAGCTGGGCTGTCTTCACAGGCTTAACTTTATAGTTGCCACGATGACACAAGCAATAGTGGCTAGTAGGCCATCACCCCATGTAGGGACTGGAAATGTGAGCTCCACCTAGGGGTGGACCCACCTAGCCTAAAAGATTAGGCTAGACCAGTGGTCGGTAAACTGCAGCTCGGCAAACTGCGGCTCGCGAGCCACATGTGGCTCTTTGGCCCCTTGAGTATGGCTCTTCCACAAAATACTGACTTCTGCGCATGGGCCACGAAGTTTCAATCGCACTGTACGTGCATGCCCACATGTGGTATTTTGTGGAAGGCCATACTCAAGGGACCAAAGAGCCACATGTGGCTGGAGAGCCACGGTTTGCCGACCACGGGGCTAGACAAATATACACGGAGGTGTCCTCAGACACTGCATGTGCAGGTAAAAGCAACAGATGAACTGTGCGACCCAAGGCCTTCCCCCTTGACAGAGGGGGCACAGGGAGTGTGGTCCTGGCCATAGTCTGTTACTAGGGAGGGGCGATGGGTGGCCCTCCTATCCCTTTGGGAAGCAGGTACAACTATAAGTTACAGTCGCTCCCCTTGATCCAGTCCTGGCAATGTAACCAGTACCCTGCAAGAGATAGTTTAGTACAATCCATATAAGCCCTCTCCCATGACCCACCCAAGACTGGTGGGATAGACTGTCAGGGACATGAAGTTAGGCCTTTGTAAGTTTACTATTGGGGCCGGAGTACTGGTCATAACATACTACAGTTTGTATTGTTGTTATAGGCTCCATGTTCAAGGAGCTGGCAAATGGGCCAGGGTATCCCTAGAAGACCATCCGGTGTAAGGGGGGGAGTGTGGGCACCCTAATCAAAGTATGCTGGATGTTCAAGGCCAATCAGAGCAAGGGCACAGCGATTGTATTGTACACACTACACAGGTGTCTTTTCTATAACCCAAATACTGATGTCACTATTTGGCAAGAAGTCTCTTTTGTCTAAATTGGTATAAAGTGTGTTACTGAGCAGCCAGTATGAGGCTGCTTTTATGGAAGGCTGGCTACCCGTCAAGCTGTTTTGTTAGCAATGGCTACCATGTTTACAAAGGTTCCTGGATTTACTACTGTATTTGCAAAGGCTGCTTTCTGCAGCTACTTTGTGAGGCTACTTTGAAGAACTCTTTTGCCTAATGGCTCCTTGTTAGCAATGGCTACTTGGGCTACAATAAAGGCTCTCTTATATGCCCACGACTTCTCATATCTTCTCCATCTCATATCCGGCGTCTACAGGGGTTTAGCCTCTGGCAGAGAAGGACCTGGGCTCCCACAGTTGGCACGGTGAGCAGGGTCAAGGAGTAAGTACTCCAACATTATTCTGACAATCTGGCCAAAAAATAGGTATAATTTTGATTCATTCACACAGGAAATCTATTGTTGTGTTGGCTGTTGTCATTTTTTATTTGACACTCGGAGGGGGAAGAGGTCAGTGCCCCTGGCCCTGGAGGCTTGGGGATGGCACCTTCAGAGAGGAGAAGAAAGTCTCAAGGGAGAAAAGAGAACCCAGCTTCCTCTTTAAAGGGTGTTGCAACACAGGAGAAAAGCTGTGGATTTCTACCACTCTGGAGGTGTTAGGCATAAACTCAAAGTTTATTATGGCATTTCAGTCTCAGATGGGAGGAACAGCTGACAACATGCAAAGCAATTAAAGAAAAAAAAAAAGAAAGAGGTCAGTGTTGTTGACTAAATAGTCAGGTATTGCATGTTTTAAAAAGTCTGTAACACACCAATTGAAAACCTCTGGGCTAGAACATAGAGGCCAGTTCAAATATTGGCAAAGATGATCATTGGTATTCTACTGAGGCTATTACCATTAAAAACAAACAGAAAAAACTACAAACAAGCAAAGGATTGTGGAGATCAGGGACAGATGTCACCTTGAAGGGCAACTCTTGTGATTCAGTCTGGAACAATTTGATCATCAGAATAGAAAATTATGAACCACTGAGAAGAAGGCAATTTCACTACATCACTTCTCTGCTATTCCTGCCAAGGAGGCATAACTTGAATATAACCATGAGAAATAATCAGACAGATTCAAATTGAAGAACATTTTACAGAATCACCAGCTTGTAGTATTCAAAAGGTCAAGGTCATGAATATCAAAGAAGGCTAAGGAACTCTTCTAGATGGGAGGAGATTAAATAAACATCTGAACTGGCTGTTTTACTCTAAAGAACATTATTTTGATAATTGGCAAACACTGAAGGTAGCCCGAGAATTAGTTGGTAGCACTGTGGCAATGTTAATGTGGATTTGGGTCATTGTATTGTGATTAGGTAGAATATTTTTGTAGGAAATATACACAGCATTATTCAATGATACCTGAAATTTCATAATTAAATACAACAGTTTGACAACTAATTCTAAAGAGGTTCAAGAAAAAGATTTAGATCTTTATTCTGTACCCACAATCTTCTTGAAAGATTTTAATAGTTTCCAAGTTTAGATAAAACTTTTATAAAATCTAAAGTAAACAGACAACATATTTAACACTTCTACCCAGAATTTCCAATTTTAAAGTTTATATCATCAAAAAAAGTGCTATTATTTAAGAAAATATTTAGAATATTTATTGAAACAGTTTATAGTAGCAAAATCCTAGGAACAAATTTAATGTTCATCAATAAAAGAGTATAGAATCTATAAATCCACACCATAATGCAACTCAGGACTACATGAAATTTGCATAAAATATTGTTAATAATAAAAAGGCAAAATACGGGAAAGCAGACATAATAACATTTGCTGTAAATGAAAAAATGAATAAAAATCCTGAATATAAATGCATGAGTTTACACTAGATTATATTATCACATTAAAAACTAGAAAGGTTATATTATAGATTATAAGCAGGAGTTATTTTGAGACTGGCATCAATGAAGGGAAAATGGAGAAAAGATTTTGGTGTTTAATTTCAGTTTTAAATTCTTACTCTTAAAGATTAATATTAGAACCTAATAGGCAAAAATCTTTGGTAACTGATTATTCCACTATAACTTATATTTTAAAATATTAACATTGACAAATCCACTTGAAAACACTGCTGCAGGTTTCAGAGTAAATTTTGTTTCCCTTGATAGCAGCACAGCTGTTTTCAGTAGCTGGTCCTTTTATGAAGAATCTGCAGAAGAGATGATAAATATATTGTTAATCATTGTTGATGAAGAGATCCATTTGTATTTGCAGCTAATGTCCTCCCTTAATTAAAAGGTAATTCAAAATTTCAAGGCATTTGCAAATACTTTGACTGACTAAACATTACAGTATATCTGTAACTTAGTATTACTGTCTGATTGGCAGAAAGTTCTCAGAGAGTTTGTTTGCAAATGATAGAGCTAAGAATAAATGTGTGCCCATATTCCCATTTGAGTATTTTTTTCCATGTGGTCTTTAGGTTATAAAAAAAAAAAGGTTAAGTCACATGAACACCTCACTTAACTTTTGTGGCTGGCTTCTCATATCAAATTGTACAATGTATTAATAATATTTGCCTCATGATACTATTATGAGGTTAAATGAACCAATGCTCATAGAACTTTCTACAAAAACTGACCTATATAAGCTCTAACTAAATTATACATTTATTGTATTATCTATGACGTGCACTGACTACCAGGGGGCAGACACTCAACACAGGAGCAGAAACCACAGGCATGGAAACATGGAACAGACTGATGAATCTCAGAGGGAAGGGGGTAGTGGGGAGGGCAGGAAGAGATTAAACAAAGATCTAATGTGCATACTAGAGGCCCAGTATATGAATTCGTGCACCGGTGGGGTCCCTCGGCCTGGCCTGTGTCCTCTCACAATCCAGGACGCCTCAGGGGATGTTGGACTGCTGATTTCGGCCCAATCCCCACAGGCCAGGCTGAGGGACCCCACCACTGCATGAATCTGTGCACCAGGCCTCTAGTTTATCCATAAAGAAGTATGATAAATACAATTATAAAATTATCTATAAAATACTATAATGTTAGTGATTTTATTCTGTTAGGAATTTATTTAAACTTAGGAAAAAGTTTTAAGAATCATGGACAAGATGTACAGGGTCAAGAAAACTTCCAAATTAATAAGGAGCAAATAAGTGCTGGATTTCCGTATTGGAAAATACACTGTTCCCAAGTTTATGTTTGAATTTTACATTGAATGTATTTTGAACAAAAATCCCCAGGCATGGTCTAAAGTTAAAACTAAATCTTATAGGTAGTGTTGAGTGGATTTGGCAGAGGAAAACTAAGGACCTTCATTGGTGATCAATCAGAGAATGTTCAGTATTACAACCCTACCCTCAAATGATACCATCTCATAATTTTATTCTCCATTCCAATGTCTTTGATTGACTTGCTTAGATTGATTCATTTAGTGCAGTGAGATGGAAAATAAGCAATATTTAACGACAAAGTAATGGAGTGGAAATAACACAACAATATCATTAATTAGTTGGTTACATAGTGTATTAATTTCTTATCACTGCTCTAATGAATTACCACTAATTTAGTGGCTTAAAACAACACAAATTTGTTATCTTGCAGTTCTGGTTGTCAGAATTCTAAATCTAGTTTTACGGGAGTAAGTCAAGTGTGTACAGCGCTGCCTTCCACAGGCACTGGGGGGAATTTTGTTCATTGCCCTTTGCAGCTTTTAGAGGCTGATGCATCACTTGGACCACATGCCCCTATTTTCTCTCTTGTAAGGACTCGTGTTTACATTGTGACCACCTGGATAATCCAACATAATGTTCTTATCTCAAGATTATTAATTTAACCACAGCCTTGAAATCTTTTTTGCCAAAATTTTAAAATCCTCAATAATCTCATGCAATTGCTGAGAAAATTTTGTATTCATTTGATCGATCTTATATTTATCATTTATCTTTTAATGTTATGTGCATACACATAGTCTACTTGCAAATTGAATACAAGTATTCAGATCAGGACTAGCATGAGTCAAAGTGAGGCACTGGCTGTGAGCACACAATTTAAGAGGGTCCCCAAAACTCAGTAAGCAAGATAAATGATAATTTAATGAAGGGTCAGAGGAAATTTGAGAAAAGCCATTTTGAACTGTAAAGAGGCTAATGCCATAGCTGTGATACTAAACCAGATACCATTTCAAAGTAATACAGTCTAAGGATTTTGGTATTTGGATATGGACATCTTTGGGACCATTATTTTGTCTACCAACATCAGGATAAAATTTGAATTTACTGGTTTAACTATTTGTAGCTCTAAATATTTTATTATAAAATAAACATAAGCATACAAAAATATTGATGAAAATTTTAAAATCCTCAATAACCTCATGCAATTGTTGCAAAATTTTTATATTCTTTTGTTCCATCTTATATTTCTCATTTGTCTTTTAATGTTATGATAATCAATCATATAATACAAAAATTATACAAAAGTTGTTTTTCAGTTACTAAACATCCTGAGGTAAACATTGAGAATTTTGAAAATACAAGAGCATGTTGGTTCAGTCACCTTTTCATACAAATCACGAGTAGTCTTTAAACAATAAATGTGCCACCATTATTGTTTTTGAGTTTTTTTAGTTTGTAAACCAAACCACAATATTTGTTATTACTCCAGTGAACATTAAATTATTTTTCATCCTTTAAAATTCTTTAGTACCAATAAGTTGGTTTTGGTGGACACAGAGATGTTTTATGAAGATACTAGTAAGTCTTAAAATAAACAATAAATCAGATTGCCTTTTAGTAAAGACTCACATTTTTGAAGCAAATGGAGAACCATCTACCCAGTTCCATGTCCTCTTCTGGGAGGTAAAGTTAAGCCCAATCCACACATAATTTGATTGTTTTAGGTTTTTCTGTATAAAAGCCTAAAAAGTGAGTAATGAGTAACTAGATGAACAGAATCCTATATAATAAAGAAGTGATATGCAAATTGATTGCTATGCACTCACACAAGATGGCCACCCCCATGTGGGCACAAGGTGGCTGGCAGGGGAGGACAGGCCAACAGGGGAGAGCAGTTAGGGTGAACCAGGCCAGCAGGGGAGAGAAGTTGGGGATGATCGGGCTGTTAGGGGAGCAGTTAGGTGTCGATCAGGCTGACAGGGGAGTGGTTAGGGGGTGATCAAGCTGGAAGGCAGAAGCAGTTAGGGGCAATCAGGCAGGTAGGCAGGCGAATGGTTGGGAGCCAGCAGTCCCAGATTGTGAGAGGAATGTCCAACTCGTTTAGGCCTGATCCCACAGGGCAGTAGGACATCCCCCGAGGGGGCGCAGATTGGAAAGGGTGCAGGCTGGGCTGAGGGACACCCCCCCCCAGTGCACAAATTTTGTGCACCAGGCCTCTAGTATTTTAATAATTTAGACATACTAAATACAATTTTAGAATTTTATTAGGCTTCTCGCACTCCACATGAGGATTCTTATACTAATTAATTCATATCTTATTTATCCATGTTATTTGATATATTATATGTATACACACAGTCTACTTGCAAACTGAATACAAGTATTCAGATCAGGACTAGCATGAGTCAAAGTGAGGCATTGGCTTCAAGCACACAATTTAAGAAGGTCCCCAAAACTCAGTAAGCAAGATAAATGAAGGGTCAGAAGAAATTTGAGGAAAGCCATTTTGAACTGTAAAGAGGCTAATGCCATGACACTAAACCACATACCATTTCAAATTGGTCCTGAATTATTACTAGATGAGAGTTTCTCTCCAAACAATACCCATAACTGTCACTCCAACTTTTTAATTCATTAGAGAACCAATAACACTTTTCTTGATATTTAAGCCATTCTGATGGGCACAATCCTGTAGAAAAATAGGAAAAACAAAGAAAAATTAAATTACATGTGTATCTCTGAAAATTGACAGTGAGAATACTTGTGTTATATAAGTAAAAGTGGAACCATAATAAAAGCACTCATCACAAGGTGTTCAGACTCACAGTGTCCAAAATACGAATATAATTCTTGGGACTTAAGAAAATTAATTTAGTGAGACAAAGCAAACCCTAGACATAAAGGGTTTTTTTTTCATGCTATGATCCAATATCATAAACGTAAACCGATTAATACATATATTGCATTAAAGCTATTTGAGAGAGTAAATAAAATATTATTTATACCACTTGCTTAGAATTTATCCATATAAAGTTTTAGAATCTCTATCTTTGTTTTATCTGTGTAATTCCTCTTAATGTCTTCCTTTTGATATTAAGTAACACTGAGATTCATTTTTTTCAATCTCTTTGTAATTTCAACTTTATCAAGTCCTTAATTTTCTTAAATTAAATTGAAGTCTCCAAGTAAAAAGATCTGAGACTTTTGAAATAATAATGAGGGAAAGTGAACTATATATAAAATATAAGTGTAGGCCAAAATAACTATCCAAGTGTGGCCATTATAATCTCTCTTTTTTTTCCCCTTTTTTGGTTAATCCTCACCAGAGGATATTTTTCCATTGATTTTTAGAGAGAATGGAAGGGAGGGAGAGAGACAGAGAGAGAGAAACATCGATGTGAAAGAGACACATCCCGCACAGGCTCTGGCCAGAGCTGGAGATCAAGCCTGCAACCGAGATACATGCCCTTGGCTGGAATCGAACCAGGGCCCTTCATTCCAAGGGTCAATGCTCTATCCACTGAGTCAAATGGCTAGGGTGACCATAAGTGCCCATCAGCAGATGAGTGGATTAGAAAACTGTGGTACATCTACACAATGGAATACTATGCTGCGGTAAAAAAAAAAAAGGAACTCTTGCCTTTTGCAACAGCATGGATGGAACTGGAGAGCATTATGCTAAGTGAAATAAGCCAGTCAGAGAAAGATAAATACCACATGATCTCACTCATTTGTGGATTATAGAGAACAACATAGACTGATGAAAAGGGACAGATCCAAAGACTGAGAAACAGCGATCAGGCTATCAATCCCCAGAAGGAAAGTAGGGGAGGGCGGGGGTAAGGGGAAGAGATCAACCGAAGGACTTGTATACATGTATATAAGCCACACCAATGGACATGGACAACAGGGGGATGGGAGCATGAGTGTGCGGGGCGGGGAGGGAGGTTGGGGGTTAATGGGGGGGATGAGGACACATTTGTAATACCTTAACTAAGAAAAAAAATTAAAAAAAAAGAAATTTGAAAGTAGAACAGTTTTCGAAAATTCTATATGATTGGAAGTCCAAAGCTTATTATTACAATAACAATTTACTTGTTATAACTGCTTTTATCTATTTGCATTTCAAAAAAAGATAATTAAGAAACAAAAAATAGTTAATTACATATTGCCTTATCATCACAATTAATTTTTCATAATTATATGTCTCAACTTGATTTTAAATCTTTACATTCTGTTTTACAGCTCTCCCCCAACTGTAAATATATACTAGTATGTGAATCAAGTTTTGAGTGTCAAGTAGATTTATAAGAGATATGTGTTTACTTAATTTGTTACATATATGTTCAATGAGATTTTTCAAATTTAGAAGGTCTAAAAGATTAAACAAAAATAGGCCAAAGCCTTGAAAAATACCTCCATGGTCTGTAGCACTTGAAGCACAGTGGTCCACATCTTTAGTACTTATATTTCCTCTTGTGTCACTCTTCATTTTCAGGTTTCCAATATCATCATGCTGGGTGATATTTGAATTATTTCCTTTTGAGCATTTGAGCAACACTCCTTGAGAAACTTGAAAACAGGATTATTGTAAGTTTGGGTAAATATCTTCCCTGCTCAATGCCTCAGAGACAAATTCTTAACATGATTCTGATGATTGGAACCAGAAATCACTGAAGGGATAACTAGAAAGTTTCTTTTTCATTTTCATGTCTAATGAGAAATTATTTCAAATATCGTACAATTAATTCATTTGAATGACATATATTTGTCGAGGATCTATTCTGTGCCTGGCATTGTCCTAAGAATTGGTGGTACAGTAAATAAAACAAAGTTCTTGCTCTAGGAAGTACACATGCTCTTGTCATGCTTTCTTCATGTTTTACCGAGACTTACAATACTGTGGTTAGCCCATCCCACAATAATTGTTCACTGAAAATCTATTTCTTCCAATAGAATATGAGCTTCCTCCACATGATTATTCCTTTCTTCAGTTTGGAAGTTTGTAATAATGTTTGTAGTATACTTGTTGCTCAGTAAAATATTTGTTGGAAAAAAAGTAAGAGTAAATTAAATACAATCTTACATAAAATGTATTAAAAATTATAAAATTCTATTTACAAGAAGCTGACCAATAAAGAAATATTGTTTTTAAATATTCACCTCAGAAATACGGATACATGCGCGTGCGCACACACACACACACACACACACACACGCTTTCCTCCTATCAAACTGTATGCCACTTGAGAACAAATACTTAACTGATTTGACTATCTACTAAGTACATTACAATGAAGTATAATATATTACTTGATACATAGGAGCTCTTTATTAAATCTTCATGTAAGGAACTATAAATATGAAATGAAACATAATGTAAAAAGAAACATAAAAAGTACACATCTTCATATATTTATTTAATTAAAGACATTTTAACTTACCCAAAAGAATCAGGGAGATAAAAGTCAAAATCAGAAGACCATTTACTGTTCCAGATATTCCCAATAAGATTTTGTACCAGTGTAACATCACAGAAAAATCTGAGAGATTAATCACGTAAATTAGCTTAGAAAAGGACATTTCTAAGGAGTAATAGCAATTATAACAATAGCATTATATATAATATTGGTTTTGAATTTCAAAAGCTAATAGGAAATCAAAAGCATCAAACCTAAGTAAATGGGAAAATATTTACTTTATTGTATAGTTATAACACTCTGGATGGTCAGAAATTGTGACATGTATTATATTAAATCTTAAAATATTGCTACTATTCAGCATAATTTACCATTGGAAAAAAGAATGTTAATCTGCACATTAATAATCTCCCCCCATACACATACACTCTCAGGTGTGTGTGCATGGCACTTACAGACACATATATTCACACAAATAAAACCTTTCTAATTAATCATTTGCTTTTTTATAATGTTCATAGCAATTTTGTTATAATAACCATAAACTGGAAATAACTCAGAAGTCCTTCAGTGAATGGTTAAGGAAACTTTAGACCCATACCTGTAATATAACTCAGCAATATAAAGAAATAAACTATTGATACATGAAACAATTAGAAATAAAATTTACACACTGAAATCAATTGGCCTTTATATATCAAATATCATTTAAAAATATAATAAAGAGAAATTATCACGTTGGGTAGCTAACAAAACATAAAACAAACAAGAAGAAAATTGGAAATAAACTTAAAAAGTACCCCAAACAAACAGTGCCACAGCCAACATAAGGAGAGTTAAACAAACACTTAAAGAACTGAAAAGCATAAATGTAGACTTGAACAAATAGAAATTCAACCACTTTTGGTCTGGAGGCTGTGTCAAAGAGATAAACTTTCCCTAAGTTAATTGATAAATTAAGAAGTGATTTAGTATACTGAACTACATCAGTTTGCTATGGTTTGGGTTGTTTGTGATGAATTTCTGCAAACTTCATTATAAAATTATTTGGAAGAACAAACAAGTGAGCTAACCAAGTAAACAATTAAAAATATAGAAATGCGAAATGGTACAATGCTATGGAGAGATAGTTAAAGAAGTTTACAAACTTCTATAGGCATTTATATAATCATCCAGCAACCCTTCTAGAAATCTGTTCCAGTTACATATTAGAAAAATATTAAAAGACCTATGTCCAAGGCCTTATAATAGTAATATTATTTTTAAAAGAATGCAAACATCATAAATGTCCAACAGTAGGGGAACTAGTTGAATAAACTAGTTGAATAAATTAGTTGAATATGTAATATATAATTATAATTGCATAATATATTTACTCAGACATAATTATAAAGATAAGCCAAAATTTTAAAGTGATCCCTCAGAATAAAATGGAATCTGAAGTAAAGGACCCTTACTGGGTATTAAGTTAGTGGCTAAACTGTAGATGGAGGAATTATTTCAAGTAATTTGAAAACATAATTTGACTGTGCAAGTCCAATAGAGTATATAGTAAGAACAAAAACCACCAAAACATTTTAATCTGTTGTAAGTAATTAGTAGAAATGCTATCTATAGTAATTCGGAAATTTTATACATATGGCAAAAATATAATTTCTTCTTGTCAGTGCCAAGATCTGAGTAAAGTTATACAAATATACAATTGCAAGGCTTGAATTGTCTACTAGACTCAAATGTAATGTTTTACCCCAAACTTTACTAAATTTTAGCAAAGGATACACTATAGTAAAGTATTAATATTAGAATGTACTATTTAATTAACTAAAAGTTGCAAATTTTTTATTTATAGCACCCTGAGCTCCTTTTTTCTCACCAAAACACATTTTGGTTTCCATGCAAAATCTACAAAGTGAGTGTGAAAAAAGTTTGCACATAGGAACCACCACATTTTGTGATCTTTCAGGCTAATATCTATATTTTCAAAAACAAAAATTTTCACCTGGTGGAAACCATATTTTAAAGTTATTGACAAGCTAAAATAAACTTGGTATTTAAAATGCCATATTTTATGAATAATAAGGTGCATAACTGACAACTCATATTCATTTTTAACTATTAATTTTAATTAATAGTTAATTAAATTTAATTTTAATGTATATATTTGTCGAGAGTATCCTAATTATATGAGAAAAAATATTATTTGAAAAGTAGATAACTGTTAGTCTCACATTGATAAATGAGAGAAACAGGTAGAGAGACGAGATGGAGAGAGAGACGGAAGACAGAAGCACCAAAAAGCAAAATCGTTCAAGAACAGAATATTAGAAATTACTATCTACATTAATATTCATGTTAATATTAACCCATGTTAAATCCATGCCCATATTAATTCACACCACTTGAAAAAAAAACTTAATTCCATACCTTTAAATTTAAGTTGGGATGTTTGGCTAGGACGCCTTTTTTTCAACTGCACATTCAATGTCATATATCTTTCTTCATCTTGCATCTTTAATGTGAGTAAATGTGTGTGTGTATATGTGTGTGTTTTGTTTTGTTTTAAGTATGATATGTACTAAGAAAGTAATAAACCTGATGCTAATCAGGGGTTTGTCCTCAAACTACTAATTTGTTTTCAGGGTGTCCACTCAGGGTACATCCAAGGCTTCACAGCTTCATCGTTGGTGAAAACCTCAGAGGAAATGTTTGCTTTTCTTTTACTCATGACCTAGATACCATGATTTCTCAACTTTTTACCACATGTTTAATTTAATATCATAACGGTTCTTTAAAAAATTTCTTCTCATAACTCCATAAAGTCAGGGGAATAGAAATTATATCCTTTTAAGAATTCAGTTAAATGATATATATAGCTGCCTTTTTTAGCCTAAATATGTAAATTTTCAGTTACACGCCCTAATACTTAGCTTGCAATTACCTAACAGTTAAATAATTTTTTGATCCTAAAACTTTTCAAATTATACTAATGATATAATTATATAATTTGAATAAAAACATACTGACAATTTTTGGCATGCTAACGATGCCCTAAACATAATATTTGAAAAATCAGGGTAAATACAGTAAAGAAACCATATTTTCCAATGATCTTTTCTGATATTTGAGGATAATGCCCAATATCCATGATGCAGAGCAGAAATGTGTGCATTTTTTCTCTTAGCTTTAGTTAAGTCTAATTTACAAACCATGTTGTTCACTTAATGCATGCACATGAATGGATGGATTTTTGTAAATATATAGATGTTTGTAATCATCACTAAATCTAGTTTAGAATTTTTCTCACTAAAAAGTTCCCTTAGGCCCAAACCAAAAAGAGTAACACAGTTCTAGAAATGATAACTTTGCCCTAGTCAGTTTGGCTCAGTGGGTAGGGCATTGGCCTGTGGACTGAAGGGTTCCGGGTTTGATTCTGGTCAGGGCACATGCCAGGTTGCGAACTCAGTCTCCAGTGGTGGGCAGGGGTCCAGAGGCAGCCGATCAATGGTTCTCTTTCGTCATTGATGTTTCTATCTCTCTCTCCCTCTCTTTCTTCTCTGAAATCAATAAAAACATTATTTTTTAAAAAGAAATGATAACTTTATTCATTGAGATGAAGTAGTTTAAAATTTAGGTATCTAGATCTCAAATCTTTGGCAATTGTAGCAAATCCAGAATGGAAAGCCAAAGACTATGGCCATGAGACTTCACTAGTGTTTGGCTAACAACTGAGTAAGAAGGTAGCATCTGGTGAAGGTATTCAGTTGGGAAATGAAGATGTTTGCAGGGAGAGCAGCATGAGAGTCTCTGATTTCATTCTTCACAGAGATTTGTCCAACTCAGTCACATAGTAGCTAGTTCTTTTTTTAAGACCTCACAGAACCACTAGAGAGCACCATTTCACAAGAGGAACTGAAGGTTTGCCCATTGAGTTGCTGGAATACAGAAAAAGAAAGCTGAAAAGCAGCCTTGGGTTAGAAATCAACCAGTGAATTTCATTTACACTAGACTGTATTCAGAACACAAAAATCATCAAGTAATGTGCTTTAACTCACAGACTCTTTGGCTTTTATTAATCTAATTATTTTTGTGAAGGATGCAAAAACAATCAGTCTAGTTATGTTTTTCAATTTTATTATATGAAGCATACATATGACAAAGTGATATGACAAACTTTACTGCTTTATAAACACACTAGAGGCCCAGTGCATGAAATTCGTGCACATGGGGGGATCCCCTCAGCCCAGCCTGCACCATCTCCAATCCAGGACCCCTTGGGGGATGTCCGACTGCTGGTATAGACCTGATCCTGGGAATCAGGCCTAAACCAGCAATCAGACATCCCTCTCACAATCCTAGAATGCTGGCTACTAATTGCTCACCTGCCTGCCTGCCAGGTCACCCCTAACTGGCCTCTGTGCCAGCCATGTTGCCCCCAACTGCCTCCCTGCTGGCCTGGTCTCTCCTAACTGACCCCCCCTGCATTGGGCTGGTCACCCCTTACTGCCCCTCTTGCCAGCCTGGTCACCCCTACTACTCCCCTTTGCCGGTCTTCTCACCACCAACTGCCCCCCTTTGCCAGTCTGGTTGCCCCCAACTGAACCCCCTGCTGGCCTAGTCACCCCTCACTGCCCCCTCCTGCCAGCCTGGTTGCCCCTAACTGTCCCCCCTGCTGCCTGGTTGCCCCTAATTGGCCCCCTCTGCCAGCCTGGTCACCCCCAATTGCCCCCCCTGCTGGCCTGGTCACCCCATGCCTGCTGTTCAATTGTTTGGTCATCCCTCACTAACACCCCTGCCAGCCTGGTCATAGGCAGCCATCTTGTGAGGGTGTGACAGTCAATTTGCATATTACCTCTTTACTATATAAGATTTCCTATTAAGAATGCTAAGTAAAAATAACTTACAAAAGTTTAAGTTGAAATATTTAGTGCCAATCTGGAAAACCCTATGTCAAATAGCTCTTAATAGGCCTGAAAACTGTAATATTACTGTAAAATTAATTAATTTTTTAAGGCGTAAAAAATTGTGTTAGGTATTATGTCAAAGACACACTAAGATCTGTGTAGAGCTTTGTTAAAAGTTACATTTCAAAATTGCAAAAAATAAAAAAGTGATATTTTCTTTTTTTCCCCTGAGAATTGTCCTAAATTATGTTGACTTCTTATTTCATACTCCACTGAGAAAACAAAGTGTAATGTTAGCCAGCCCAGATAATATCTGAACATTTTATATTGCTGTAAATTGAAATAAAAGAAACAGTGAAAAGATAGAATTTATGTCTAGTTCTAATTTATTCAGTATCCTGGAATTTGACATTTTCATCTTTGTTTAAAAAGAAATAAACAGTTAGGACTATCCCAGGGAACAAAGACATAATTCTGGCAACAGACTAAATATATTTACTTACTAGAGGCTCAGTGCATGAAATTCATGCACTGGGTGGGGGATCCCCTAGCCCAGCCTGCGCCCGCTCACAATCCGGGACCCGTCAGGTAGGGTCCCTAGGCCTGGCTGGTGATCAGGGCCTATCGGGGCTTTCCTTCCTCTGCTGCCGGCAGCTGGCCCCACCCCCACCACTGCCACTGCTTGCCATCTGTGCAGCACTGCCCCCACACCCCCTGCCACCAGTCGCCTCCCTCTGCAGGCAACAGGTGTGGGGTGTGATCACCTGGCTGGCCTGAGCCTCCCTTTGCAGGGCGATCGTTGGATGATGGCAGGGCCCATCGACCAATCGCATCGCACCCGCCTTGGCTGTCCTGGCATCAGTGTGTGTCATAGCGTGGTCGTCCAACATGTTCATCCTCACAGGTGGCAGCAGTCCACATACCACTGCTCTTTGAGCTCCCATCATTCTCCCATGGCAAAGATAGGAAGAGTCTTGAGGATGTAAGACTTAAATATTTAGTGGTTAACTGGACAAAGAAAAGGAATCAATGCAGTACAAACTACATAAATTTTTTTTTATTGTTTACACTAGACTCCCTACCACAATACCACTAACATCATCTGCCCAGAAAAATACACACAACATTTTTTCAGCAAAGTCAAGCTGGGTATCTAATGGACCATTGGTAGTAAAGTTTTTTGAGAGCTACAGAGTCATAGCACCTTTCAGAGCAGGGGTACGGCTAAGAAAGGTACATGGTACCCAAAAGTAATAAGGCCTCTTACCTTATTTTTTGGAATTGATATTTGCACGTCATTTCTGCAATGCCTGATTCTTTCCTGGGCACTATTGTAGCTACTAATGCAAAGCCTAGGAGAAATCTGAATTATCCAGAAAAGTCCTTTCTGACCACCTTTTCTAACACTTGGACCTACTCCCTTTGTCACTCACTGTCATATACACACATTAATTGATTCATTAATTCAACAACAAAAAAGTTATTATCTGCCTGGCAATGTTCTGGGCACTGGGGATATAGCAGTGAATACAACAAAACTGATACTTTCATGCGGATTGAAATAGAGGAAGAAATGCAAAAACAAACAAACAAAACTATAGCAATTCAGTTGGTAAGGAAGTGGCTTGAAGATAAGTAAAGTCAAAGCATGAAAATGGGGGTTGCTTTGCAATTTCTGCAAGGACAGAAGCAGAAAGACCACAAAAACCTGCTGCAATGGAGGGCAAGAGTTGAGGTTAGATTAGTTTTGAGCATTTTAAGGTTATGACGCCTATTTGATATTGAAGTAGAGAGTGTGGGTAAGGAGTTGATAGGCAGGTATGGAATGTAGGAAAGAGGTCAAAGTAAAAAATCCTAATATATAAAAACCCAGGGACCACAGATCCATCCCCGGGCTCTCAGGCTCCATTGATCAGGGGAAGACTAATGGGGGAACCAGGGTCCCTCAGGCTCCAATGAATCCATGCAGCAGTGACATTTTGATTTGGCTGGTCCCTCCCCCAGCATGCAGACTCCCATTGATCAGGGGATGATTAACAGGGAACCCGAATGAGTGGCCCGGGGACTGGCAGGCAGCTGGAAGGCAGGCCTCTTGGTATCAATCAGTGTTGGAGGAGGGGCAGAACTGGGGACTGGCTTCCTTAGTACTCCTGTAAATTCAATCTCCAGAGGTCAGGCCAGGCACCAATGGACCAGCGCCACTGGCACGATCCTGACAGCGCTGCTGGCCTCCTGGAACTCGGCCTTGGGCACTGCAGCCACTTCCCCTGTTTTGGACTAGCTCCCTTAGTAGTCCTGAAGGTTCAATCTAAAGAGGACAGGCCAAGCACCATCGGACCAGTGCCTCCTGCACGATCCCAACAGTGCTGCCGGCCTCCTGGAACTCGACCTCGGGCACTGCGGCCATTTCCCCTCCCTAGATGCTCCACAAGGAAGAAAGGATACCGCCAGCAGCGCCAGGGACGACCAGCGATGACTGACTGCTCTCCCTGTGCTTCCCCCAGTCACTCCAGCCGGCCCCCGCCTGCCCCAAGCCAGATGCAGTGTGATCACTGCACACAGAAGGAATGTAGTAAAAAAACAAAAACCGACGACCAAGAGAATGCCG